GGACCACACACACCCAGCACACACACTTTTCCCCCCGCTCCCCTCAGGAAGGAGGTTGAGGAGCATTAAGTGTAGAACCACTAGACTGAGGAACAGCTTCTACCCTGAGGCTGTTACTCATGAATCTCTAACCAGAATAATCACTGTGGGAAAAAATTAACTGTAATGCCACTTGATTGTTGATATATGCTGCTGACTATCCATGCTGCTGATATTATGCTGCTGATTTATTTAACGTTGCTGGTACTCATGTGCTCACACAGACTCATGTTCGCGCTGCTGTTCGGCGTATTGTTTTTGTACTACTAGTGTTTAGCGTATTCTTAGTTTAACGTTTTTCTTAGTTCATACCTTAGATCTTATTACTGTTTTTCGTTGCAATTTATACTAATTTATTGGATGTAACTGGGACCCTTTGTACACAATTTTGTTCCACCACATGTTCCAGGTGTGGTGCGAATGACAAATAAAGAAACTTTGACTTTATGTCCCATGGCACACGTGGGCAACAGAAACACCCATGTTCACCCACACCCACATGTTCTTTTACTTTTGGTCATCTAATAATCTTCAAATAATGCCATCTTCAAGTTGTTTATCAGATCCAGGTGTAAACACCTAGAAATAAAAGCTGAAAGTTTTCTTTTCTGGTATTCATCTCTTGATGAAAAGAAACAGCCTCTGTGCTCCGATACATAGTTCCCACGTGATGTCACATCAGGGGCATTTCCGGTGCGTCCTCCATGTTGGGAGGCAGCAGGTACAGACACAGTTAAGTTTACTGGTAGTTAAATTTTATCTAGTTTTTTCCTTTAAGTAAACCGCACTGGTTGTTTCGTGTTGGTTAGAGGATGTTACAACCGGGGAGACGTTTGGGCAAAGCGCTGTTTTCACTTAATCCCAAAAATAATGAAATGTGAAGGAGCTCCATGGAGGAGCTCACCTCAGGACACCTTGAGTCTGGATAAGGATCTGCCCTCGAAGACGTCGTGCTCCCATCACTTTTTGTCCGGTAAACAAAAAATTCTATATAAATCATTTTGTGAGACAATGTCAGAACAATGTCAGAGTGTAACTGTGTGTGTTGGAACTGTTTTTTTAATGATTTAACGTCTCTACTACTGTAGTTAGCTTAGCAATGCTATGCTACGTGCTAACCTCCACACCTTAACACTCACAGCAACAAAGTTCTGGTTCTGGTCCCGTGTTGAGCCTGGACTGTTTGTTGTCAGGAGGCTGCACGTAATTTTATTTAAACCTTTATTTAGCTGGTTAGATCTGATTGAGACAGTTTACACATCTTTGTTTCAAGATAGACCGGGTCAATATGACGTTACAGCAGCTCACAACACATGAGCCGTCATTAAACCAGAGTTATTAAAGCACATTTAAAATAATGATGTGAATAAAAGAAGAGAAAACACACATGAAGATAAAATTGTACTAAAATGTGAGTGAATATCAGTTAAAGCATTTATTAAACAAATCTGTCAATGATTAATATAAATACATGTTGTACAGTACACAATGTGTATATGTATATACTGTATACACTGTACAGTATATACATATACACATTGTACTTAATATACATAATATTTGAACACTGCAACATTGAGAACTATCAGTTTGTTTTATGAGTCCCTCTTTACTCTCGTGTGAACAAAGCAGTGGATGCATCTGTACTGAAAATATTCCATAACACAAGTTCATCTTTGTGTATTACAACATTTGTTGTATTGAATTATTAGTTTTTTCAGGAAGGCGTGCACACAAGTCCAGCACAGACTGGTCTCCTGCACTGAAGTTCACAGACCCTGACTCTGAGAACATCAGCAGCAGAGGAACAGCAGGTAAAGACACAAGCAGCCGGCACAATAATTCAAAAATATTAAAGTAAATCTAAGATAAAAATTACTAAAATCAATATAAAATTGAACATATATCTTTGTGACTGAGTAAAAATGTTAGCAACTGTATTAATTGTCTTATTTTAGACTGTGATGCAACATGACAATGTTTACTAATCTTTTTTTTTTTTTTTAAGGTTCAGACGAGTGAAGGGCCGAGTTCGAGCCAAAGAAAAGCTCCAGTGCAAGGACTCTCCTAAACCTGGGTCCAGTCTCAGATCCTAGACCTGGGTCCAGTCTCAGATCCTAGACCTGGGTCCAGTCTCAGATCCTAGACCTGGATCCAGTCTCAGATCCTAGACCTGAGTCCAGTCTCGGATCCTGGACCTGGGTCCAGTCTTGGATCCTGAGGGGTTGGTGGTCCCACATGACGAGGAATCTGTTCCAGTGTGTTTAAAGTCAGAACCTCCACTGGTCTCCATCAGTCCTTGTTGAAGAGAGTTGTTGATCTGGTTTTTAATCTGTAGTCCACTATGATCAGCTGCATGGAGTCATTTCATTAAAAGACATCAAATCACCCACAGTTCTCATCTTGTATCAGTTTCAGCTGTGTTGAATTTCTAATTATAGGCTTTGACTTAGAACTGTGTCAGTCTCCTCCTGGAGGAGGAACATGCAGCAACATGCATGTTTTGATGTTTTGTTGTGCTACATTAAACATAGCTGATATTTACTGTAGCACAGATTAGCTTAGCTCATGTAGCATGTAGCTATGAGGGACATCTACGTGTATATTATTGAACTACTTACTCTGCCAGTCACCAGAACTTTATTAACATGAAGAGTTTGGACGTCCGTCACAAATCCATCATTGATTATAAGCATCCATGGATTTAAAGCTGTGAAGCTCCTCCGTTGTGGACTCCTCGTGTTCATTGATAATTAACGATGTCAAAGTAACTTCTCGGTGACAACTTGTCTGACATTTCTTTGTCCACGTCAGGGGTCAACTCCGACCGCATCTATTTCATGCTTATATCTTGCTCTTGGTCAAGAGTATCAGTATACTGAGGTCTGGTCTGTAAGACATCTTCCTCGAATTTGCCTTTACATATGGCGGAAAACCCGGTATTGCGCAATACTGGTCACGTGTGGGGGAACTATGTATACGTTTAGAGCAGGGGTTTAAGTTTGGCTACAGTATAAGAGCTACACAACGTTTTGGCATGTTACTGTTAGAACTTGTAGTGAACTAAGCCTCCAGTCAAGACCTGCCTCTGAAGACCTTCATGGGACAGGAACTGTTATTTCATTGATTTGAATCCAGAAATACAAATTAGCTCATCCAGAGACTTTCTAATTGTATCCTGAACTAATCAATTGAAAGAACACTCTCTTTTTTATATTATCATTACTATTTTTACAATGTCTTGATAATCAAAAGTGTGTTTAGTTCAAACCATTTGTAAATGTTGAAGTGAACTACTCATTTTAAATCAACTGTGAAACAGTATTAATGATTTTTAATCCTCATTCAAAGTAGAAATCAAGTTAAATGTCTATGTTACAAAGTAATTATGCATTTTTGATCTTCTGTCTGAAATGAGAAAGGAGTGATGTCGGTCAAAAGTCGGAGACAGTCCGAAGCAAGTTATTGGAACGTACTGTCATGTTTTAAACCTCTCAGACAGAAACAAGAAAACTGGCACCTGTAAGTCTGTCATTTCTCCAAAACATTTCTCTGTCTGTTCCTAAACATCTCCGCTGTTTTTCTGACTTGTAATGACCCTCTGACGTCACTAAAACCACACCCCTGTTGGTTCTTTCAACCAATCAGGACTTCCCAAAAGTGACCGGAAGCAGAACTCTTTAAAAGTCGACACTTCCTAGTTCCAGGGAGAACAGAAGTTCCAAAAGTTCAGAACAGAGAGTTCTGCTGAGAAGGAAGACAGTGTGACTTTGCAAGGGTGAAGTCCACGGTGGTCTTTTTCTGACAGATGACACCTGTCTGGAGTGTTGGTTCAGGTCATCACGCCAAAGACCTATTCAACATCTCAGGAGTTCAGCACGTTTGCTGAAATTCCACTTAACTTAATCCTATCTTTCGGGGGAGTTTATTTTGGAAGCTGGGCCAGTCAGCCTCGTGGTCCCAAGTTGATGAGAAGCGGATACAATTCCCTGGAGATAAAAGACTCAGCCTTGCTGGACGTCCGGAGAAGGCCTCTCTGAAACCCCACCAAGGTAAAGAGTCGACGCTCGGGTACCATCTGGCTGAAATCACCGGGAAACGTGCTATCTGGTTTCAAACAAGATAACTCCCCATCTTTTCTTTATTATCTTAGTTAACCCTAAGTATCCACTTTTCCTTCAGAAACTTTACTCCATCTCTATATTTCCCTGCCAGTAAAGATAAGCTAAAGCCTGCAGACATTAATTTAAGATCTAAGGATATGTCTGTTGTTTCAAGCTGCAAGTGAGGAATCATGGCCGTATGATTTCTCATTGTAAAGCTCATTAATTAAGCTGTGTTATTGTAATCAATTATGCCAATCAATGTGTAAAATGTGTGATGTGTTTAAATCGTTTTGATAAATAAAAGACCGCACTGCTGTTGGTGGGTCAGAAATTTAAACACATCTTTGTCCACATTTAATCTTCTAGGCACGATATTACTTAGTCCAGAAAAATGAAAGAATCCGTTTAAATTAAGTATAATATTATGTACTTGAATTAGTCCAGATATTATAAAATGTAAGAGAGCACCCCTGAGCTAAATCCATCTCACGGTGTCTCTCATTACAAACTTGTCAAAGATAAATAAAGTTCAGTAAAAAACAACTACATAGCGCTCCCCTCTGCTGGTCCTTTCTAGAAAGAAACTAGCGTCCTGGCCCTCTCATATGTCACATATGGAAGGGCAGGTTCCATTTTAGTGTGGGTCTGTCCCCATAAAAAAAGCTCTCAGCATTTCAAGAAAGGGCTTTTTAAATGAACCCATCTGCTTTGAAAATTAGGAAAAAAACTCAGTTGTGATTTTGATATTTTTATCCAGATTTGTAAATCTTGGCACCAAAAATGATCTTCCATAAACCTGAAACCATCTCTTGGAGTACTGTGTTTATTTTATGAAATCTTCGTTCGTTTCCTCAGGCATTCTCGTAAACGATGGGAGCGTTTCGTCCACAGTGAGAACCAGCACCTGGTCAGTCCTGAGGCTCTGGATTTCCTTGACAAGCTCCTACGCTATGACCACCAGGCTCGTCTGACTGCCCGCGAGGCCATGGATCATCCTTACTTCTGTAAGCTCTTATCTTTTTGTTCTGAAATGATTTCTGTGAATGTGGAAGCTAATCATGGATTTTCTGTTCCTGATTGTTCAGTTCCTATTGTGAAAGAACAGTCTCGTTTGGCAGGCTCAGCCAACCTGCCAAGTGGGAACCCAGCTGTTACCACAGCCAACATGATCACTGGTGAGAAGTTGGTTGTAAAGATCAAAATTAAACCTTCCATTTCTATGTTTTTGCTCGTGTTGAAATTGAAGCCTGAGTCTGACATGGAGGTGTTTGCGGTGCGGACCCAGCTTTGAATGGATGCAGACTAAACAGCATGTGGTGCTCTCTTCCCCAGCTATCTCTGCCCTGCCAGCCTCCACTGCCCTGGGTCCTCTCACTGGCTCACCAGTGCTGTCAGCTGCCACCAACGCCATGAGCTCCCCTGTGCCTGCTGCTGCAGGAACCCCACAGTGACTGTCCAAACAGGACCCCACCCAAACAGAGAGGGTGTTATTCAGCGTGCCCTCACCACTTCCAACCCAGAGCCACCACCTCCAAACAGGAGGGCCCCCATCTTTTTGAGAAAGTTTCACTTTCTAATAAGTGGCAACATGTTAACGTCACATCTGAAATGAATGTTCTAACTAAGATTTACTTTAAACTTCCTCGTGAACTGTAGTGAAAATGAAGGGTTGAGGTGTGAGTGGCTCAGGCCCAAAGAATCTGCTGAAGGTCCAACAAATGTTGGTCATCGCGACCAAAAGGAGCACATTCTGTACAGTTTGTTACTGAACCAGGAGACCTGATGAAAACAATTTACCTTCACACATCAGAGCATTTCAGAGGTTTGGTGCTGTCCTCTGCTCCACATGTAGTTTAATACAACAATCCATTTCAACACCGTCAGGTGAGCAGTCTTTAAATGCACCCCCATGCCGTCCGTTGTCTGTTTCCTGATTGAAAGCTTCTGAGCTACTGCCGTGAGGTGGGCTCAACCTCTGGACTATAGTCTGGAGAAGCCAGTCTCATTCAGGTTCTCACAGTTCCTCAGACATGCTGCTTTCCACTTTCTTGAACTCCTTCAAGTGGATTTACTTTAAGATTTAACCAAAGTTTACACAGTTTCCAGGAAGAGACTGAATGTAGTTTTCTTTCAAGTGTTCACTTTGCTGCAGGCTGATGTTGCGTACAGAGAGATTTTCACATACAATGAAAGAATCACTAAAGTTCAACAGGATTGGAGTTACGTCCTCAACCCAGTGGTTTAGTGCCACTTTGAAAGTGTCACTTTTAGAATCCGCTGTATATTTACAAATTGGTTTTTACAATACTTGCAAATGAACCTAACATGTTGATGTAGAAGACTAGTGTTCTAACATATCTGTAAATAAATGTTTTGACAGTAAAATCTGGTTGATTTTTACATTTACAAACTAAAAGTCTTAATGCTCCAATCTGAAAATGTTTTGATTTAGTTTACCCTTTGATTTGTAAACAGAAACCATAAAGATGAATCTGTTCCTGAGGTTCAAAAGGTTTCCAACAGTGATCCTATAGTAAGGGCTAAATAACTGCTGCGTCTCTGACAGCAGGCCAGTTCCTGCTGGACCTGAACTCTGGTTCAAGTCTAGCACTTGAGATGATATCAAGTTTTGAACTCAAGATGTAGCCACTAGAAATTGCTATAAACCATTCTACAAAATTAAAAAAAACAGCAAGGCATGTGTTCACCCACTTTGCTGTGGTTTTGAAGCCCAGCTGTTACCTTAAAATGTCTCATAATTAAATATTTGCTTATGGGCAATCTGTCTAATGATCTCTATATACATATATACAGGTGCTTGTCATAAAATTAGAATATCATGAAAAAGTTGATTTATTTCAGTAATTCCATTCAAAAAGTGAAACTTGTATATTATATTCATTCATTACACACAGACTGATATATTTCAAATATTTATTTATTTTAATGTTGATGATTGTAACTGACAACTAATGAAAACCCCAAATTCAGTATCTCAGAAAATTAGAATATTAAGACCAATTAAACAAAAAGATTTTTAGAAATGTTGGCCAACTTTAAAGTATGAACATGAAAAGTATGAGCATGTACAGTACTCAATACTTAGTTGTTTCTCCTTTTACCTGGATTACTGCAGCAACGCAGCGTGGAGTGGAGTGGATCAGTCTGTGTCTCTGCTCAGGTGTTCTGAGAGTCCAGGTTGTTCTGATCGTGGCCTTCATCTCTTCTGAATCGTTGGCTCTGGTGCATCACATCTTCCTCTTCACAATACTCGGTAGATTTTCTATCGGGTTAAGGTCAGAAGAGTTTGCTGGACAATTAAGAACAGGGACACCATGGTCCTTAAACCAGGTACTGGTAGCTTTGGCTCTGTGTGCAGGTGCCAAGTCCTGTTGGAAAATGAAATCTACATCTCCACAAAGTTGATCAGCAGCAGGAAGCAGGAAGTCTCTAAAACTTCCTGGTAGATGCTGCATTGACCTTGGACCTCAGAAAACAGTGGACCAACACCAGCAGGTGGCATGGCACCCCAAACCATCAGTGACTGTGGAAACTCAACACTGGACCTCAAGCAACGTGGATTCTGTGCCTCTCCTCTCTTCCTGCAGACTCTGGGACCTTGATTTACAAAGGAAATGCAAAATTTACTTTAATCTGAGAACAAAACTTTGGACCACTCAGCAGCAGTCCCAGGTGAGACGCTTCTGACGCTGTCTCTTGTTCAGGAGTGGCTTGACAAAAGGAATCTGACAGCTGAACCCATGTCTTGCATACATTTGTGCATGGTGGTTCTTGAAGCACTGACTCCAACTACAGTCCACTCTTTGTGAATCTCTCCCACATTTTGGAATGGGTTTTGTTTCGCCATGCTCTCCAGGGTGTGGTTATCCCTGTTGCTTGTACAGTTTTTTTCTACCACATTTTTCCCTTCCCTTCGCCTCTTTATAAATGTGCTTGGACACAGAGCTCTGTGAACAGCCAGCCTCTTTACAAATGACCTTTTGTTTTATCTGGGAAGATGGCGCTGCTCTGCATGGCCTGCCCTCCGCCTCTGTCTGCAGTGATCGTGTTTTTTCTGTTTTTGTCATTTTTCACCTACAACATCGACTCACTGCTGGTTTATGAACGTCATCAACTCCTAAATCTCCGACTATCTGCCACCAGTCATCATAATGATCGTAATTCTGGACCCCCCCCCCCCCCCCTGGACCCCCACCTCTGCTTGAAGACGTTCCTGTTTACCTCCGCCGTGGTATCCTGCCCACTTGGAAGTCATCGCTCCAGGCACCGTGGAAAACGGGCCGGCCGTCTTGTGAGGATCAAAGCCTGCCGGGCTGCTGCTGCGGCTTCCTCTTCAACCGAGAACCACATCTTAAATCACCTGTCCTGGTGCTGTGCAGATCCACCTGAGTCCTTCCCGCCGGTCCCACGGGTCGGGTCGCACTTCCACAGCAGACCTGTTTGCTGCGGCTGTGCTTCCAGTCGTTGGAGTCGCGGGTCGAACTCCACAAATCCAAGACCACTGGTCTTAACTTCATGGACAACTTCTGCTGTGATTCCTACAAGGATTGCACTGATAAACACCAGATCTCTGGCTAATAAAACGTTTATCTTGAAGGACTTTTTCTCTTCCACCGGTCTGGACTTCTTCTGCGTGACTGAGACGTGGCTCTCCTGTGGTGAGTTCATGGCCCTGTCGGAAATTTTACCACTGGACTGTTCGTACTTTAATGCTCCGAGAACATCAGGCAAAGGTGGTGGATTATTAACTATTTTCAAAAAACGATGGAACTGCGAACTGGTACAGATACCAGCTAATTTTTTGAGCTTCGAACTGCTGTGTTTTGAGGTGGGCCGTTCAAATCCTGTTTTTTCTGCTGTTATACAGACCACCAAAATATAATAAGGACTTCATGGCTGAACTCTCTGACTTTTTAACTTGGATCTTACTCAGATATGATTCGGTTTTAATTATGGGGGATTTCAATATACATGTCTGTTGCCCTGAAAAGCTGCTGACTCAGGACTTTCTAGATCTGATCCAGTCTCTGAACTTTGTACAGAATGTTGCAGGACCAACTCACCAGCATGGCCACACACTGGATTTAGTGTTGACCTTTGGTTTATCTGTTTCTGAGTTAGAAACTGGGGATGCAGTTTTCTCGGACCACAAACCCATTTCTTTCAACACTTTTGTCAACGAGTCCAACCCCCCCCCCCCCCCCCCCCCCTCCAGCCAGGCCTTGTCGAACATTTAACCCTTCCACTGCTGCGCTCTTTTCATCTGCTTTTACTAAAAACTCTCTCTGTCTGTGAATCCTCTTCCATCAACACCCATGAGCTAGTCACTGTACATCAAGAGACCTGTGCTAAGGTGCTTGACCTAGTTGCACCATTAAAAATTAGGCATCCAAAGTGCACTCCACACCCTTGGATGAATGAGATCACTCGCGCAGCCAAACTTCAATGCAGGAAAGCCGAACATAAATGGAAGAAGGACAAACTTCACATTTCTTTTATCATGCTAAAATCATGTTACAAAGAGTACCAGGCCACTGTTAAATCAGAAAAAACTAATATTTCTCCCAAATCATCACCTCAAACAGCCACAATCCCTGCGTTCTTTTCAACACCATTAACTCCATTTTAACCGTGCCTCAGTCTGTCAACATGGAGGCCTCTGCAGTTACGTGTGACAACGTTGCCAGTTTGTTAAAAAGGTTGAGTCAATCAGGTCACTGATTCTTCACACAACAGCTGACCCCTCTGTCTTTGTCCCCTCCTCATCAGTCTAACCAGTTTGAAACCATTTCCCTCTCATTTCTAAATGACGTCATATGAAAACCCCCGGTTCCCCTGCTGACCCCATCCTGCATCATTTTTTAAACAAGTCCTACCCTCCACTGGACCCTCTGTTCTTGACATTATAAACAGCAGTATGGCTGCAGGTGTAGTTCCTGACACTTTTAAACATGCAGTGGTAACTCCTTTAACAAAAAAAACCCGGACTTGACCCTTCAACCTGCTCAAACTTCAGACCCATCTCCAAACTTCCCTTTCTTTCTAAGATCCTGGAGAAAATAGTTTTCACTCAATTAAATGAGTTCTTGAGTGGAAATTCTATTCTTGAGATCTTTCAGTCTGGCTTTAAGAAACTACACAGCACTGAAACAGCCTTAGTTAGGGTCTGCAATGACATTCTTCTGGCAAATGACTTTGGTCAGTCTGTAGTCCTGGTACTCCTTGACCTTACCGCTGCATTTGATACTGTGGACCACAGTATCCTTTTATCCCGGATAGGACACTGGGTTGGGATTACTGGTGCAGCGTTAGAATGATTCCATTAATACCTGAGCGACAGGAGTTTCTGTGTTAATTTTGCTAACACTATCTACTTCAGTGCCTCTTTTCTGTGGGGTCCCGCAAGGCTCAATTCTTGGACCCCTTCTGTTTTCTTTGTATCTCCTCCCCTTAGGGTCTATCCTGAGGAAACATGGTCTTTCCTTTCATTGTTATGCTGATGATTCTCAGATTTATCTGCCGTTAACATTTAACAGTTCCTCCTCCATTCGCCCTTTGCACCCTCATTCCTCTCTGACCTCCTTCATCCTTATGCTTTTTCTCGGGCCTTGAGATCACCAGACCAGCTGCTTTTGGCCGTACCAAAAACCAGGCTGAAGCTCAGAGGAGATCGGGCGTTTTCAGTCATGGGCCCCAATTTCTGGAATAATCTGCCCATCAACATTCGACAGGCCACCTCAGTCTTTATTTTTAATTCTCTCCTCAAATCACATCTGTACTCATTGGCATTTAACACAGGGTGATCTCATTTGGTATTTCATTGTTGATGATTGTGTTCATCCATTTTGCTTTTACTCCCTGCCATTTAACGCAGGGTGATTTGATTTAGTATTTCATTGTTTCTCTTTATATTTAATGTTTTTATGCTTTTATTCATGTTGCTGTAATATCTTGTTATTAATATTTGATGCTGTGATCTTTTTTGGTAAGCACTTTGATAACAGTTACTGTTTTAAATGTGCTATATAAATAAATGTGACTTGACTTTTGTGTCTTGCCCTCCTTGTGCAAGATGTCAATGGTCATCTTCTGGACAACTGTCAAGTCAGCAGTCTTTCCCATGATTGTGTAGTCTACAGAACTAAACTGAGACCATTTAAAGGCCTTTGCAAGTGTTTTGAGTTAATTAGCTTATTAGAGTGTGACACCAGGTGTCTTAAATATTGAACCTTTTTCAATATTCTAATTTGCTGAGATATTGTAGTCCCTCGCTACTTTGCGGTTTATTTATCGCAGATTTGCTCATCGCGGTTTTTCAAAATAAAATTGGACATGACACAATTGGCTGATTGATG